TGAAAATCGACAAGAAGTATACTTTCAAAGCGGAAATATTATATGTACATACAAGAAGAGAGCTATAGAAAAATCCATATAAATGAAATTGAAAAGTAGAAAAAGAATAATAAAAAATATAATTTGAGATGTGAGTCAGTTGTTTGCGACATGTGTGTATATATCATAACACAAGGGTGTAATTAAAGAACAATCAAAAGCTGGATAATTAAATTTTTTTTCCTGTCTTGTCGAAACTGTCAAACCTAATTGCAGTGAATGGATTCGTTTTCAATATATAGTTATAATTTCAACTTTCTTCAAATAAAATCTATAATCAATATAATACACTAAATCTCCGATATTATCACTTTTTACACAATTTTTCATATGGAATAAAAACATTTCTATTTAAAATATTCTTTTAAATGCCGAATGTTGATAATTAAAAATTTTAATTCAAATAATCGGATACTTTACTATTATCAAATAAATATTTATTTGTATCAAATAATTATTGAATATATTTGTTTCAAATACCAAAAATTCGAATACAATTTATTTAATTTAAATAAAAATTATTTGGCTCAAGTAAATAATAGTTAACCGATTAATTTGAATCAAATAAATTTTTTTTCAGTGTATTTAATTTGTAATTTTTTGAATTGTTTTCTTTCAAAATTTTAAATAATTATCAAACTGAATATAACTTTATATAATTTAAATACAAAAGAAACTGTGAAACTCAAGGAAACATTAAATTAGACAAAAATTAAGGATCTACGCTTCGTTTGAATTACAATTTGGGAGAAAATTATATTTTATGAAATAATAAATTTGAAAGGTCGTCGGTAAAACCGCTTTTTATTATACTCCTTTTATTTTTTAAAAACATAATAATTTTTTCAAATTATAACTTAGAGCAAAATGTATAAATTCTTAATTTTTTTTTATTTAAATTTATGAATTGAATTACACAAAAAATTAAGTAATTTTTTGTTTCTTTCGTGTATTTTTTTTTTTTTTTTGAAAAATTTTTGTTTGGTGCAGTGAATGGCATATAGAAAGTTTAGTGATTAAGCTATAGGTGAATTTAATACCATAATATCGAGAAAGGGACTATAAATAGGGTTGAAAAGCAAAGAGCCTTCATCGATTGCGAGGTCGTATATAGGGGATGATTCTCACAGGAGAATTCGCGCTGTGAATCAGTCTATGAACGAGGACGTAATGCAAATTACTTGAATAAATTTAATTATGATGCCCCAGGGAAGACGGAGTATCTAATTATGTTCACATTCAAGGTAATGGTGTGTGAACTAAAAAACTGTCTGAAAAAAAATTGAAAAAAAACAAGTCAAAAAGTCTTTATACATTTGAAATGAAACTTTTATACAAGCAAATTAAAATTGTAAATAAAGTATTTACACCCAGAGAGAAATGATATATTTGTCTCAGAGGCAAATAAATAATAATTTGTTGCAAATAAATTTTTATTTGATTTAAATAAAAATTTTATTTATGACAAAAAAAAAATTTTTATTTACGCCAAATAAATGGGATAGTTGGCTCTGAGACAAATATACGTTTTTATTTAACTCAAATATATTATATTTAGTTTTGGGTATTTTTAATGGTGTTTTTTTTAAGACAAATAAAAATATATTTGTCTCAGAACAGAATAATTTGGTTTTAAATAAAAAAAATTTATTTAGCACAAATAAATTATATTTAGTACAAATAAAATTTTTATTTATCTCAAATAAAAATTAATTTGAAAAAAAAATATTTATTTCTCTTTGAAACAAATATAACATTTCTCTGGATGTAAAATTTTTATAATATGCCCTTTAATTATTTAATAAACATTAAAATTGGTTCAGTGTTATATTGATGATTTAAAATAAAATTCTAATCGTGACCTATATTACCAATACACGTCTATATATTAGCGTTTATCACAAGTATTCATGAATAATTTAAACTTTAATTAACACTTTATAACTATATAAAATCAATAACCATTATTTTTAGAAATCCCTGAAAATTATGCGAAAACCCCTTGATAATTTAATTTCATTAATTTAATTATAAATTATGTTTTTCTATATAAAAATAAGTGTTAAAATTAATAGCAAAATTTTCTTATATTTTTAACAAGATTTTTTTTTTCAAAATTCTCAAATTTACAAATTTTTTTTATAATTCTTTTTTTAATTTGATTTGAAATTAAATTTATTTTTCTGGCAACCTTGCAAGTTTTTTTCTGTATAAAAAAATCATGTAGATTCAAAAATTCAGTAAAAATATTAGAAAGAAATATAGAAACTACAAAATTAAAAAAAAGTAAAAAATTTGTCAAAATTCATCTCTAAAATTTCGAATATTTTTAAAAAAACTTGTCACTTCAATTCGGATGAAAAATTTATATTCGAAAAATAAAATTCCAGCACACTTCCCCCAAATAAGAATAGAATTTAAACAACCGGAAATTATGCAACTTCCTACAATATTTGGTTCTTGACGCGGAATACGAAGTGAAGTGCGGGTTAAATATCAAATATTTTAGGTAAAAATAGTATACAGAAAAAGGAAAATCGCAATTTTATGATACATTTCTTTTTTTGAGTAAAAGTCGGAATTATATCAAAAATGTAAATGGAGAAAATTTTTTTGAAAAAGAATCAAAGTGGCTTTTTCAATATTTTATAAAAAGTAATTTAGGAATAACAGTAAATATACCTGTGGCTTGCCACGGCTCGACATAACGAAGGCACATATGACTAAGCCAAGGAACATCCACGTGAGTCACATGGTCCATAGTGAGTTATATGCTCTTCCCTTTTGGATTTGAACTTCTCAAGGCGAAGAATAGACATCATTAAAAAGACAGATACGGGGTCGAGACTTTCAACCTCAAGAATTCACTGATCTATCGACATTTATATCTATACATATATATAAAAAAAAGCTTCGAAACCCGGAAAACTGAAGACTGATTTTCGCCAACCACTCGTCGAATTCTTCACATCTGCTTTTCAGGCGCATTGACCTTAATTCACTTTAAGCTCGAGAGTCTCTACTTTTCTATAAGTATTATTTCCACATCAAAATACTTCCGCGATTTTCCGAAAAAAAAAATTCTCTATATTTACACGTCAGCTGTTTCTTTCAATCATTTTTTAGAGCATAAATAATCGTATAAAGATCGAGGATTTTCTAATGAGCACAAACTTCTCATATTTTTTTTAGTTCAGTGCCTCGTGTGTGATATATAAGCTTAGTTTTAAAAAACACGAGACTTCACACTCAAGTGTCATTATCAAATATTAATTTTCAAATTTTAATCACTAAGACATTTTTAAAAAATTATTTTCATTGCTGTATAATTAATAATTAAATTATTGTTTGAAATGGAAAATTACAAAATTACCACACTGAAAAAAAATTTATTTCATCCAAATAATTTGTAACTTAACTATTATCAAATAAATATTTATAATTATTATTTGAATTAAAGACACAAAATTACCATCAATAATTTCTAAATGACAGGAAAAAAGAGCTTATAACTGTTTTGAAAACCAATTTAGAAAAATTACTACCAGCTTCATAAAATCATATTGTATCCTTTAATATTTTTAGGTCATCATTTTATAAATGAGAAAAGTATAAATAATTTTTAATTCAAGTCTAAATTTGTGTATAATTTCCCCTTGTGTCTAATATTCATTTTTTAAATATTCAAAATAATGATTAAGTGTTACATAATCTTAAATTAATATTCGTTATATTAATGTTAGCTGTTTACGGAATTTTTTTACTGGATTACGAACTACGAATAACAAATTAATTTTCAATATAAAATATTTAACAACAAAATCCCAATAATTTCTTAAATTAAAGACACAAAATTACCATCAATAATTTCTAAATGACAGGAAAAAAAGGGCTAATGGGAAAAAATTAATTGCAAGTTCTGCCACCAGATGTCCTGCGGTCAACCTCTCTCGTAAACGAGCTTCGAATTTCAGGATATAAAAGCAGGATATGCAAATGAAGGAAACTATTCAATTTTTAAAGAATTCAATCTTATTCTTTCATAAATATTCTTTGTACTTAAAGAAAATGGAGAGAAATAACGAGATGAATTCTGACGAGATAGAAAGAGAATTCTGTAGAAAGATGGATGAGAAATATTGGCGAGAACAATATGAAGAATACTTGCTTAGAAAAAAGCAACTTAAAGAATTGGAAATGCAGGAAAGAATAAAAAGTCGTGAAAAATTTCGCGAAATGTTTAAAAATTTTAGGAACTGTGAATTATAGTTCCTAAAATAACCCCGGGCTGCAAAGCCCAATAAACTAATTCAAACAAAATTTCAGGAAAACAAAATTTTATAACACAGATCACATATATATGATCTTTAAGAATATTTACATATTCTTCAAGTTAGTCGATTTTTTTTAAATCTTATGAAATTTTTTAGAAAATATTTATGTATTGGTTAACAATTTTCTGATTCTAAATTATTCCAAATTAAGGAAAAAAATTTGAACTCAAAAATTGTAAATTCCGATAAAATTTCAATTTCAGAAAGAAAATTTAAATCAAAAGGGAAGAAAAGTGACGATGTTAGGAAAATATTTTATAGATTGCAAAAACAATAATCTATATATGACTGATGTAATAGTTTGATAAAACAAAATGAAATTCTCTTTCAAGGATCGCTGCGTTGGAAATATAATTTTTTTTATATCAAAAGAAAAGAAATTAGAAAATAACGAACATTGATCAATCGTGTGTGAGTGTATAATAGAAAAGCATAAGAAATTATCATTATAATAGTGAGTTAGTATTTTCTCGGCTAATAAGAGGAATTTGCCGCGTTTAGTAATAGCGATACGCTATCTGCGCATCCGTGTTACAGGGTTACACGCTTCTTCTCATACATGCAATGCGTCATGAACATAACGAAAATTTAATAGACTTTAAGATTCAATTTTTTTTTTTTACTTACAACTCTCGGAAAACTGACGAAATATCAATATATTGCGAATTTAAATTTTCTTCTTACCTGTAACATAAAATGACACAATATTCATTATTATATATAATTTTTCATTATTCAATAATATATATGTGTAAACATAACGTAATACAGAAAATTACAATAAATCGCGCAGTGAAATCTAAAGAAACTTTCATTCATGCGTTTTTATTGTATACTAAATAGCGAAAGATTTTAATTAAACATTAAATTACTATTTTATTATTATTTTACAATAATAATAACTAATTTTAAAAACCAATTTAAAAAAATTTTTTAAATTACTATTTTTTAAAATATTTATAAATCAAAAATTATTTATTGTAATGTTATTAAACTATTGAAATTATTCAATGATTGATTGCCATCATGTGATAAAATAAATATCGACTCTCAAAATTTTTAATATCCATTATAATCCCTGGATTAATTTCTCATTGACACGACCCTATTAAAAAAAGTTCTCTGTATATACGTTTTCGTTTGATCAACGCGCGGAAAAGGAAAGATAATCCCTATGGATCCGTCACCCTTGCTGAAATCGTGCTTTTTCTCTGATATATAAAATATTCACAAAATTCTTTTTTTTTTCGCGTGTAAAGTAGTTCTCTTTGTTGAGAATTTTTCTCATCTAAAAAAAAATCTAAATATTTTATTTAATATAAAGATTACACCGGCGAGATCAAAGAAAATTTATTTCCTATATATAAAAGAAAAAGTTAAATTATTGCCAAACAATTATCAAAAATATTTAATAATAAAAGGAAAAAAAGATTGTTTCACAATGGAGAATTATTAATTTTTTTTTTTAAATCAAATTAACATGCGTGAAATTTAAAAAAAAAAAGTAATTTAATACAACTGATAAAAATAGACTGTGTCTAATCGTGAAAGTGAATCAGTATTCGCAACAAGTTATGCGGTTTTTGCCTGATAAGAGTTTTCTGAGGAGAACCGAGCCAAGCGTAGTATATAGTCCCCTATTCTTACTTTGAGTCAATTCATATCGTATGTAACGTACGTCTGTATAGTTGAGCACTTCCTTCGAGCAATGACAATCTTTGTGTTTGTATGTGTATATAACCCTCAGGTTTATATATAAAGTATAGATGAGGTGTCTTATATACTATACGTGACTATCGATATTCAAGTCCCGTGTGTATACAAAGATGGTCACTTCATCCTCTCGACTTCATTTCTATAAACACAAATATCAAGATATCTAATCCAACACAATTTAAAAATTTAATTTATTAAAATAAATGCCAATAATTTCTTTGAGGCAATAAATTTATTTAGTGGATTCAATCAAAATTTGGTTTGAAACAAATTTTTTTCAAATTGAATACAAAACAAAATTTTCCTAACAGGTGTTTATATAAGTTTCAATCAGTTTTACGAGTTAAAATTAGTTTTTTTTTTTTGAAATTTCAATTAGCCCTTAACTTGTTGGTAGCGAAGACACGGGAGTTGTAATTTGATGGCATCGAAGAAGAAGAACAAGAAGGAGTAATGTGGCAATCAAGACAGGGTTTCTAATCGACCTTGCCTCGGTCTCGGTAACATATTACGATGCTGTTGTCTTGAAACAACGTTAATCGCATCTTCCGGATGAATTGCACTGCAATCAGCGATATCAGATCGACGGGTAATTATTTCCTATATATATATGTTTACGAGTTATATAGGCATCAACAACGTTGCCAAGATAGTTAAATCGATGAAATTCATATAACAGTATATAATTCGATAAAGAAGACGATTAGTTGGTTGGAAAAAGGGCCCACCTCCAATAAATATATGGCGTCCTATAGAGAATATATATGAAGAGAAAAAAAAAAAACGTCTCGACATGTTCTGGTCGATGTCCTTTCTGCTCTTTTGTGCTAATTCCGGCATTGCTCGTTGTTCCGAACCGCGCGCTGACAAAGCTTTGATATACATATATATATATTGTACTAGAGGGGGTGGTTTCAGAAAAATGGGAAAAAATGAGCAAAACAAGGAAACGAAAAGGGAAGGAGAAAAAAAGCCCGGAATCGTAACCCAACCCATCTCTTTTCACACAAGTTTAATAAAATTTATCGGTTAATACTCTGCGTGCTTTGATTTTCATTCGCACGGTTTGACACAAATACCAGTATTTTATTTTTTTCTTTTTTTCCGCTTCTCTCTTTGTATTCCTCGATATATAGTCCAATTTTTTTTTTTTCATTATGCTAAAAATTACAACAAAATTTTAATAACATGATTTCTTTTCGATTTTCAGAAAGTCTGATTATTAAGTTTCTAGATAATTAGACTTTCTTAAATTTTTATAAAATGAATTCTTTGCATAATTTATTTTCACAAGATTAATAAAATGAGATAAATGTTAGAAATTCGTGAAAGATCGCTCTCTTTTTTTTTCACCGCGAACGTGACGATAAACACTCGTATTTCGTGTCTACGGGTTTTTCGTTCAAGGGCGAGTTGCCTACTACTGTATTCAAAACTGAAGAATACGTAAAAAAAGGGGATAAAAAAGATGAATGAAAAAGCAATTTATTCCTACTCTTTTTTAAAATTATTTTTCAATCAATAGGAAAAACAGGTTTGGATTTTCGTCCGAATATCAGAGGAAAAATACTATTTCTTTCTTTTAATTTCGTATTAAGATTTGAAACAAAATTTACGTGAAAATATTAATGAAAAAAAACGTGCTTCACGGAGGATAGCTAAGTGGTCTTGAGCGCAACTAATAGCATTTTTTTTTAAAGATATCGAGCGAACACACGTAAGAGTGATGCTTGGGTGAAAAGGTTACTGCCCTTAAAATATGTCCGAGTGCTCCAGAAACCCCAAAGCATCAACACAGTTTCATAAACTAGATTTTTCTAATCCCATTTTACTCTTTCTCTCGAATCTTGATAGAGCCGAAGCGAGGGAACATTTTTAAATTCAAACTGACACTCATCACTTTCCTCAACAATTTGGTTTAGTCTCCAAAAAAAAAATTTAGAAAATGCCCGAAAAAAAGAGACTTTATCATCATTAATTCAGAAACAAATTTTTTTTGACATTTTCCAATATAATATTATTAGGCAGAACACACTTCTCTTTTCTTTCAATTTTTCAAAATGAAGATTAAGATAAATGAACCAATTTTCTCAATTATAAACTTTTGTTTGTGCGACCATCTGGCGCACACTTATTTTTTTCCCCCTATTTTTCTCTTTTTAAATCTTTTTTTTTTTTTTGCTAATTTCTTTCCGCATGAAGAAAAGAAGCAGTCTTTGGAAAAACTGTATTTGAATGTAAGCGCCTCTACTTAGAATTTACGAATAGACACATGCATGAGTATATTGTTCCGACCGTGAAACAAATATCTTTCAAAGACCGCGTTGGTGCTGCTATCAATAGGTTTAGTAGAAAGTGAAGTAGCTTTAGTATCTACATATAGCAGCCTCTCTTTTCACGCACTTGCTTATCGACGTTCAGAAAAAAAAAACATAAAAGAAGAGGGCAAATTCAAAAAGGGTCACAGAATTATAAAAACCCTTTGTCGAACACAAATATAAAGAAAGATAGTATAATAAAAGGAAATGCAAGGAAAAAAGAATTTCACTATTCCTTCAATGGATTTTTTTCCCCTTAAAGAATAAGAAATGAACTGAAGTGACAAAATAATAATAAAAAAGAAAAGTTTCATCTTAAAGTAGGTCAATTTTTTCGCTTTTTGCACCTCTAGTTTAAAAGTGAAATGAAAAATTTTTTAATCTTCAAAGAGCACAATATGTGCATTGTGAATCTAAAAATTGACGGAATTAATGAAAGCAAAAAAAAAATTGCTTGACCCAAATCATTAATTAAGGAAAAATTCAATATGTGAATTGCGAAAGATTTTTTACAATTCTGAAAGTATTAAATATACAAAAAGAGTGTAATTATTACCATCCAGAGAGTTGTTATTTAAATCACTTTTTTTTTGTGTTTTTTAATTGTGCAAATTTTCAGCGAAAATATGGAAAGGTGTTATAATGGCGCCAACAATTATAAAGCGAGTTTATTTCCGGACACCTTGTTGCCGAGCCAGAATTCACGCGGAACCAGTTCCGATCGATCGAAATAGAGAGTCGCGAGTAAAACCGGATTTGGTAAAAAAAAAAAAAAAATACTTTCTGCATTAAAACTTTATCGAGTCACCTTGGCAATATTTCAAAAAATTGAAGATTTACTTTTTTTTAAATATTCTGTTAAATAAAAAAATACAAGTACAGATTTTGTTGTACAAAATTCGGTTCTAAATTACACTGAAAAATTTTACATTTCAAAATGGGTCAGAAACTGTAGTAAGTTTAATATTCGACTAAACAGTTTTTTACATTTTTAAGTAATATTAATTTTTGAACTAAAAATTCTTTAATTCTACTTTGTATTTCAATGCAGCGGCATCTCCAACATAAAGAGATTACATTATATAATTATATACTAAGTAAACATTTGTCCTATAAAAACATAAAAGAGCTTAAAAGTTTGATACAAACGATAAACTTTCTATTTTTTTTTTGTAGCACATTGTAAAATATTAGTTTTTTTTTTCAAACTTGTATCTTGTACTTCCCTAAAGGCGTGTTTCATGTTGAAACTTTGGATGAAAATGTAAAAAAGAAAAAAAAAATGAGGACATTTCATACTTGTTTGAAAACTGTGTCTCTTGTGTTTAGGGATGACACTGACTAGGAAGATGTATGTAAAAGCACCAAGAAACTTTGTTGTGAATAAGAAACCGGAGCTTCTCATAAACCACAAGAGGTCGGTGGAGAGGGGGGAGGGGCGGGGGTTTGTCGTTTCACTGCGGATTTTATTGCTAAAAACATCGCGAAGCATTTTTACGAGGTTCACATAAAAGAAAAGAAGATCCGCGTTTAGGCCATAAAGGTGAATCCCCTCACGATTTTTGTTAAATTATCAAATTTTTCATTTCTTCTTTACTTGTATTAAGTTATGTCTTTAGCGCATGTACATAAAACTGGAAATTGTCGGGA